ATATTTCTCCTTATCCAGTTCCCCTCCAGTCCTCCCAAATAGGCGTGGGAATTCCAGGTTCATTATGACTATTCTATTAGCATTCCCCCTTGTTGTCTTCTCTTTCTTTGATTTACTGAAAGGAGAAAGAGAGTAAGGGTTTTTCTCTTCCAAGCTGCCTGGGTCTAGAATCCATCCTCTCCACTTATAGATGTCCTACTCCCAGTCAGGGTCCTACTGGACATTCATCAAAGGGTCCCCATCATGGGATCTCATTTGCCTCCATTTGTCTTTTTTAAAAATATGTGTTTTAAAAATATATATATACAGGGCCTTACTGTATTGCCCAGGCTAGTCTTTAACTCCTGGACTCAAGTGATCCTGCTGCCTCAGCCTCCCAAAGTGGTAGGATTACAGGTGTGAGCTACTGTGCCTGGCTCTCCATTTGCTTTAAGGTAGTCAGAGTCCATACCTGAGGGAGTTGCTGAGAGGACTTGAGTCACACATCTGTCCCTCTTTCCTATTTGGTTCATGGCTTCCTGTTCTTACTCTGCACCTCCCCAGCCTCCACATTGAGCCAATCTGCAGTTTCTGGCACATCTTCATCAAAGGCACTGGTTTTCAACTAGGGATGACTGTGTGCCCCAGGGGATATTTGGCAGTGTCTGGAGACTTTTTGGTTGTCATGACCTGGGGACAGTGTGTTCTACTGGCATCTAGTGGGTAAAGGTCAGGGATGTTACTAAATATCCTGCAATTTACAGGACAGCCCCCCCAGCACATAGAATTATCTAGTTCTAAATGTCAATAAAAAGATTGAGAAACCCTGATGTAAGGGGTGGTCCACGAATCCCTTTGTGTTTGTCTGCTTCCATCTCCGTGTTTAAGAGCTTTTGTTAACCTCAAAAGCATCTCCTCCCCAGTAGATGGCTTCACATCTCTTAAGTTTTCCTTCACTCTCACTCCAGTCAGAGTTGATCCTCACTATAGGGTTTCTAAACTGCTTGTGTCCATTCATTGTAGCATTTACCACATTTGCCTTCTAATAGCCCCCTTCAACATGATATGTTCTTTCTCCTTTGAGAGTAAAGTAAGAGCTTGATTATGAGGATGACCATTGAAATCCCATATATTGTTGTTATCATATAATAATATTATAAGGCCCCAAACCTCGGCACTAGGGGAGTCAGTGGCACATAGTGGAGTCAGCCCAGAACATAGTGTCAAGAGATTCAGTCTGGTATCCAACTATAATTGTCCGGCTCTGTGATAAAAGATATAACTTTCCTGAGCTTTATTTAGCTTCCACATAGGTAAGGCAGAAATAATATCCATTTCCTAAGATTGTTTGAGTCTGTGAGATGTTAGCATAGAACCTGGTCCATAGTGGTCATTCAAATATGGATTGAATCGAGAAAATGAAGCCCAGGTTCCAGACGTGACCCTGATAATAATTGGCTCATGGGGAAAAATTGAAACTGTTTCTTACTACCTTGACAGCAGCAATCTTAATTCCAGGCAGCCACCTCACCATTACGCTTCATGAGTATGAAGAGAAACCCTACTGATGTTGGGCTGGTAGCACATCCTATTCACTGTGGAATTAGTAGAAAGTGTTGGTGCTTTCTCCTAATTTCATGGAAGCAAAGGGAAATTGCATACACTTCTGACCCCCATTATTTTATAGAGGAAATATTTCTCCCTCTCTTGGAACACTGGGACCCTAGAATCATACCCTGAAGGTTGGGAGGTCTGCCCTGACCTGGGTACCCAGAAGTCTGCTGCTTTGTAAAGGGACTGCTGAGGCCTGAGAGGGATACCACATCCACTTAGACCCATGACTTTCTGGTACATGGAGACAAGCACAGAGGAAGTGGTATTACGTTTTGTTCAGACATTATAAGACATTTAGCTTTTTCCACCAAGCTAAAAGGTTAGTGACAATTGATCCTGTGGGCAAAGACAATTGCCATATGCTCTTAGGGATAGAGTTATAAAAATCATTTAATTATTAAACAATGGAAGTACTATCTAGTATTTGGCCAGAGGATTTCAAACTTCCTCCATATATGGCCTTATCTCTAGAACAGAATGGCAGTCTGTCCACATCAGGGAAAGAGCTGATTCCATCCTTGGAGATAACTTTGAAAGGCCTTAAGGCCTGTCAAAATGTCATTGGTTTTCCATTCTGTCAGTTGCTAAAGACGTAGTACACTAGTAGGTCATGGGTCAGAGGCCAGCAGACAGATTGTGTATGATCAGTTAGGCATCAGTGTTGACAGGGTTCACAAAGCTAACAGCTGTGTAGGTGGCTCCTCACCCTATTTGCACTCTTTGATTTCTCCTAAGCCACTTTACTCCACATCTCAGGACTTAGCTCTTCACTGTAAATATACTCTTTCTACTCCTCACTCTTAATGGATGTTTGTGTTTTCTTGTCAGCCAGATGTACTGACTGTGGTTAAGGATCTAGGCTTTGGAATTGGGAATACCTGGCTTTGAATCCTAGCTGTTGTCTGTTGCTTGTGTGACTGAGTCAAGTGACTTGGTCATTCAAGCTTTGGTTTCCCAATTTGGAAAATCAAGTTGATACTTAGCTCATAGGGTTATTATGAGAATCAAATTAAATGAGAAAATAAATATAAAGCACAGTGCCTGACATCCTATAATTTTATCCAGTTGGTGGAAGTAGTAGTCATTACATTTCTTGAGGGCAGAGACACTATGGTTTTGAACTCTTCCTCCTTGTACCCGGTCTCTTAGAGCTGAGCATCTAGTAACACTCAAATATTTTAAAATTTGAAATGACAGGTACACACACACACACACACACACACACACACACACACACTCTCACTCTCTCTCAGAGGATAATCTGATAATTTAAAACACTCTAGAGGTCATGATTTTAAAGTGTTTGAGCTTATTTTTATAAATATGATACATAAGGGGTCTAATTCATGGATTGGAAGAATAAATATTATTAAAATGTTCATACTACCCAAAACAATGTACAGTCAATGCAATCCCTATCAAAATATGAATGATTCTTCACAGAAATAGAGAAAGCAATTCAAAAATTTATATTGGAACCACAGACAACCCAGAATAACCAAAGCTATCCATAGCAAAAAGAACAAAAATGGAAGAATCACATTACCTAACTTCAAATTATACAGAGTTATAGTAACCAAAACAGCATGATATTGGCATAAAAACAGACGCATAGACCTGTGAAACAGAAGTGGGCAAAGATTTCATGGGTAATACCTGGACAAGCACAGGCAACCAAAGCAAAAATGAACAAATGGAATCGCTTCAAGTTAAAAATTCTGCACAGCAAGGGGGACAATTAAAGTGAAGGGACAACCCACACAACATGGGAGAAAATATTTACAAACTACCTTTCTGACAAAGGACTAATAATCAATGTATAAAGAACTCAAACAACTCGACAGGAAAAAAATCTAATAATCCCATTAAAAATGGGCAAGGGATTTGAATAGACATTTCTCAGAAGAAGACATACAAATGGCAAACAGGCATAGGAAAAAGTGCTCAGCATCGTTTATCAGAAATGCAAATCAAAACTACAATGAGATATCACCTCACCCCAGTTAAAATGACCTTTATCCAAAAGGCAGGCAATAAATAACAAATGCTGGTGAGGATATGGAGAAAAGGGACCCCTTGTACACTGTTGGTGGGAATGGAATTTCCCACTGCGGAGAACAGTTTGGAGGTTCCTCTAAAAACTAAAAATAGAGCTATCATATGATCCAGCAATCCCACTGCTGGCTATATACCCCGCAAAAAGGAAATCAGTATATCCAAGAGATATCTGCACTCTCATGTTTATTGCAGCACTATTGATAATAGCCAAGATTTGGAAGCAACCTATGTGCCCATCTAATGGATAAAGAAAAATGTGGTACATATACACAATGAAGTACTATTCAACCATAAAAATGCGATCCTGTCATTTGCAACAACATGAATAGAACTGGAGGTCATTATGTTAAGTGAAATAAGCCAGGAGCAGAAAGACAAACGTAGCATGTTCTCAGTTATTTGTTGGAGCTAAACATTAAAAGAATTGAACTCATGGAGATAGAGAGTAGAAGGATAGAAGGATGGTTACCAGAGGCTGGGAAAGGTAGTAGGGTGAGCAATGGGGGGAAAATAGGGATGGTTCGTGGGTACAAAAAAATAGAATGAATAAGACCTAGTATTTGCCAGCACAACAGGGTAACTATTGTAAAAAAATAATTTAATTGTATGTTTACAAATAACAGTATAATTAAAAGGATAAATACTTGAGGTGATGAATCCCTCATTTACCCTGATGTGATTATGTATCACATGCCCACATGCCTGTATCAAAATATTTCATGTAACCCATAAATATATACACCTACCATGTACCTACAAAACCAAACATTTAAAAAGGAGTTCTAAGATATATGTGAGTTACTAATCTTTGCAGTAAGTTCGATGATTTGAAGGGAAAGCATCTGAGCTATATCATCTCAGCCCTCTGCCAAAATAACTTCACTTGATTATGATTTACTTTCCCATGCCCTGCCTTCTGGAGGATCCATGTAGGAATGGCCTATTGACCAGCCTGGCCAACATGGCAAACCCCCCCATCTCTACTAAATAAAAAATTAGACTGGCATGGTGGCACGCACATGTAGTCCCAGCTACTTGGAAGGCTGAGGCAGGAGAATCGCTTGAACCTGGGAGGCAGAGGTTGCAGTGAGCCGAGATTGTGCCATTGCACTCCAGCCTGGGCAACAGAGCGAGACTCTATCTAAAAAAAAAAAAAACTAGCCGGGCGAGGTGGTGGGCGCCTGTAGTCCCAGCTACTCGGGAGGCTGAGGCAGGAGAATGGCGTGAACCCGGGAGGTGGAGCTTGCAGTGAGCTGAGATCCGGCCACTGCACTCCAGCCTGGGCGACAGAGCGAGGCTCCGTCTCAAAAAAAAAAAAAAAAAAAAGGCCTATTGAGTGTGTGTGACTGCATCTTTCCAAACTAAGCCTCCTGCTTTACCCATTTTCTCTTAAACACGGTTCCAAGACATTCTTCTCCTTGAGTTTCCCTTCAAAAGAATTTATCTCTGTATAAGAATAAACATTTGTCTTTGTTAAATGATAAAAATAGGGTCCCTTAAAATACATTTCCATATTTGCTCTTGATACTGGGAATCACAGGGTCAAATTCAGTGCCAGGTGAAGGGTGGAGGACATTGTAATTGTTCCCCTTCTCACAATGTCTCTTCTCCCTCCCTCCCCAGTCCCTTCCATAGGAAACAGGGAATGTTTGTTTTTGTCTTCTGGTAGGAGAGGGATTGGTCCCACCCTCAGCTCCAGGGATAGATCTTGATTGTTTAAGCCCAGTCAGGTAAACCCCACACCTGTTGAACAGTGATTAACCCAGTGGCAGTCACGCCAAGAGGGTTTGTTCATGGCTGGGCATGTGACCTGTGCAGGCCATCAGCATGCTTGCTGAGGACTTTCGAAAGAAGGCTCTTCAGTCTTCTGATAGACCTCTCCAAGACAGCCCTCTCTCTGTGTCCTTCTGGATGTTTGGGACATGAAGCCTGGGGCTGCTGGAGTTATCTTGCTGTCATGAGGAAAGCTACCCCTAGGATGTGGTTAACGAAGTAGAAAGAAAGAAAATAGGCCCTTGTTTTCATCATAGAGCAACTGACTCAAACTCGACCTGAAGCTGCTGAACTTTCCATTTGCATGTGCCGGCATATCACCTTTATCGTGTAAGCGCTTTCAAATTAGGTTTCTTAGTTGCATCTTAGAATCCAAATGGTGCTTGACAGATACATTTCCTTGTATTTTAGTGATTCTAACCCGTGGATCAAGACCCTGCCTTGGAGGTTGGGGAGCAGGGGGCTGGAAGGGCTCTATTTTGTCAAGGAATGGATTGTTTATGTGAGCATATTTATGCAAAGTAAGGAAATGTCTTGCCTATATATGTATTAATATTTTTCAAATTTATCTTGCTGTTTTGATGAAATGTAAATTTTGATAAAAGTACTGAATTTGTAGGTTTTTATCCTGTATTTTTCACAATGAGCAGATGTTAGAAGCATCATATGAATTTGTCCAAAAAGATTTTTTTTTGCAGAAATTTTTGACATGAGGAAGAAGCCCTTGCTTAGATAGATGTTTCCACCCTCGGTCTCTCCTTCCTTTCCTTTCCTTCTTCTCTTCTCCTGCCATCACTCCCTGCTCCCTTCCTTTTTTTCTCTTTCTCTGAGTCTGTTATTACCCTGTTTTCCTTCTGTTGAGTCTTGTTACTCAAACTCTGTTAGAAATAGTTGAGACATAAATTCTAATTAATTTTATTTGGATGGCTATGTTAAGGTTCATTTAACTTTTCAGGGCCTGCATCGATGAGCTCTACATAAATGCAAACAAATAATGGGTATTGAGTGCTTTAATAGCAAGGGACCCAAACTGAAGTTCATTCCGCATGCAACAAATTGGGTGTTGGATGGGAATGCTTATAATGATTGACCCCTGTTTTTTGTAGTAAGCAAGAAACTGCAAGTGAACTCCTGTAATTGATGTATTTAACAAGTGCTCACTGTGAGCACATTGCCATTAGTGTAGCTGAGTGGTACAGTACTGAACCCTTACCTCAAAGATCTTATAGTTCATTGGAGAGAAGAGACATGTACACCAGATATTGTGTAAGCCAGGGCAAGGTTTTTTTTTTTTTTTTTTTGAGACGGAGTCTCGCTCTGTCGCCCAGGCTGGAGTGCAGTGGCCCGATCTCAGCTCACTGCAAGCTCCGCCTCCCGGGTTCACGCCATTCTCCTGCCTCAGCCTCCTGAGTAGCTGGGACTACAGGCGCCTGCCACCTCGCCCGGCTAGTTTTTTATATTTTTTTAGTAGAGACGGGGTTTCACCGTGTTAGCTAGGATGGTCTCGATCTCCTGACCTCATGATCCGCCCGTCTCGGCCTCCCAAAGTGCTGGGATTACAGGCTTGAGCGACCGTGCCCGGCCAGCCAGGGCTATGTTTTATAAGGGAATACATAAGTTGACATTCTGGAACCTCTTTCTTAGAATTATCCTACCAGAAGAGCCCTCTAGAACCTTGTGTTTAGTAAATATTGATCACCGCCATTATAAAATATGCTGTTTGTTAATAAAAACATATTCTATTCTGCCTTTTTCTTGGCCATTTTTTTTAGCTATACACAGCAGTTTTTTTATTTTGTTTTTTTGCCATAGAACCAACATTTTGGCACTACCCCCCACTCTCAGTCATGTGTGCACATGCACGCACACACACCAAGTTTGCTGCAAGTACAGCATTACAATAATTCAAAATTATAACTGTCTCTCATGGAAAAGAGTCTGCCTGCTGGTTCGGCATGGGGATAAGTGCACTAGCTGAACTGTACTCATTTATTTCCTACTAAACAACGTATAGCTGAATGCAAGTGAGAGAGACTTACAAGGACAATCTTGAACTATCTCCCAGTTTGTTCAAAACAAAACCAAAGAAACTTACCAACTCTGGTATTTCATGTCAGCAGTGACAAAGGCTCACTGAGCTCCCCAGTAGGTGCCTAGCCGTGCATGCTCCTTCTAGAATGCCAGCGGGAAGGCCACGCTGAGCAGCCAGCTGGCTGTGGAGCCCTTATTCTAAGACTATGCTGCCACTTTCTTGTGACACTGGAGTCAAAAGCAAAAAGGGGCTTGCAGCCAGTAACCAAAGGGCTGTATTCAAGCAGTGACCTATTTTTACACTGTAATCGGGTTGGGTTTCTCTTTTTCCCTCCCAGGGCAGTAATCTCAAATTCTTCTGAGTGTTCGAGAAGCCAGTTCCCTGTTACCTCTTTGGCTTGGTTGTTTTTCACTTTAACGTAGGTCACTCTTAACTTGAGGACAGGAATATCTGTCCCTTTTCCCTGATTTGAGGGTAGAAGTTGGTTTATGTGTACAAAATGGAGAGATAGGAAAACATGAACCAAGGTAAGGATAGATGGCTTCTGAGGAGGAACAAAACCTGGTGAACTAGGTAGAGAAAGGTATTTGGGATCATAGGTCCAGGGTCCTGCCCTTTCAAACCCTATCACACATATGAACTAATTACTTAGCTTAGTCATCAGATTTTGCTTGTGCTTCATATGTGCTGGGTGTCAGATGCATAGTAATAAAAAGGTAGAACTCTTGCCTCAGCCCACAGTCTTGTGGGGGAGGAATCTTGTACCTACAATTACAATGCAGTGCCGCCAGTGCAGCAAGGGAGTTGGGCCTGAGTGAGGGTGTTAGATGCTGCTGGGGAGGGGGTACTAAGAAGGGTATCAGAGGAATTTCTCCTGAGCTTCTTATTCAGACCCTTTGCTACTCCAGCCTGTCTCGCTTCCATCAGACCAGTGCCTAGCCTGTGTTAGGTTTTTTGTTTGCTTGTTTGTTGCCATTTAGGTCTATGCTATGTATAATCTGCAAGGGTCAGTTCTTCAGGTGGGATTTTCATGTCTCTTCAAGAAGAACTTTGGGACCAGAAGCCAGTGTGCCACATGGCTCCATCCTCCCAAAGGTGATATGCCTTGGGACCTTTGTGCCTAGGATGATACATACTCCTGTCTCCTCTGCCTGGACAACTTCTTTTCATCCTTTAAGACTTGTTTTTAGCATAAGTCCTGCCTCATTTATAAGTTCTACCCTGATGTCCTGATAGTTCTTGTCTGGTGTCTCCGTTGCCTTTTTCCTCTTTTCTTAGCATATAGAGCCTTGAGCTTCAACTCATGCTTCAACTCGTCCATTTACACCGGTATATATCTGTGTTCCCCCACTGCACTGTGAATCTCAGACACAGGGCCTATGTTTTATTCACCTAGGACATACCAGTTGCTTAGCAATGGTGAGTCACATGAAGGAATTATGTGTGTCATGTGAATGAAGTTCCCATCTGGCACCAAGATGGCTAAAGATATCAAGAGGGCTGCAAAAGATTCTTAATTGAGTCTCAGACTTTTTGAGCTCATTGAATGTCCTTTGTACTGAAAAGGATATGAGGAAGATTTTGCAGGATAAAGCCTAGGGGGACGTAAAAAGTGGCCTGCTGGGATTTGGGAGACAGAGATCAGTGAAGAGGGGTGTATACACCACAACATAGCAGGGAGAATGTCTAAGGGAACACCCCCATTTAGGTGTTTCTTAACTTTTATATGTAATATACTCCTGAACACAGGACAAAATTCACATTATCTGGCAGATGTTATCATGTCTCAGCATGGCGTGGTCGTGTGCCAACTAGTTGTATCAAAGTCTGAATTCAGCATTCAAAAGGTGATTGGGAAGTATCCATGTTTGCTATAGGCAGAAGTTGAGGTTGTTTGTGTAACAGCCTTCCTGGTACTTCCTGGTAACAGGGAGAAATCTATCACAGGTGCTTGATAAAGATGAATGTAGTGATTAAACGAACCCTAAGACCAGCCTTGCGTAAGTTTCTCCTGACTCTGTCATAGTTTGGACCTTACATTTTGAAAAATACTGATACATATCAAGAATTTTCGTAGATTAAAAGACAGCTATGTACACCAGAGGGTGCTGTGTTTCAATTTTCATATCTCTTTCTTTTCCACTGCTGTGGTTGTATGCTACGTGATTCATTTGAGGACTAGCCAGTTGAGAATTTGCCCTCAACAAAGGACTGTTGAAGACCTGAACACACCCTACCCACTTGCTGTTTTCCCAGCATAACAGATGAGTTCAGACACGGCTATACTACACTACCCAGGTCTGCTTTGCTGTATATTAGTTCTTAACCATTGAGTTCTTTGTTTAAAACTAGACTTTTTTTTTTTTTTTTTTTTTTTAAATGCTGCAGCTTAAGTCCATTTTCAATATTCTTTCTTTGGTGAAAATGGAGACCATCTGGTTATCATCCTCTGTGTAATAACAATGATTGAAGATGGTTATTAAGTCACCCTTCGGCCTCTTCTCTTGCCTAGGCAAAATTGTCTTCATTTCTGTGGCCATTACCCATAAATCTCATTTTCCAACCCTTTAATCATCTTGGTGGCTTCCTTTGAAAACTACTTCAAAGGCTGTTTCACTGCCTCTATTTTGGTGGGGTCTGGGCTGTCAGCATTTAATGGATACAGAATGTGGTTGTTTTAACTATCTAGTTTCCATAGCTAGTTTCCACATCTCCAGGCCAATCACTATCATTAACCATCAGGAGCTGCTTTACCATCTTTTCATTGTGATTACTTTATAAATATTATTGATTAATGTGTTGCTTTGACTGAAAATACAAATTTTAGCTTGTGAATAATTTTAGCTATTGGCTGATAGAATTTTACAGCCTCATTTATGGCGTTTGAGGTTCTTTTCTAAGCTATTTGATTGTAAGTGAGTATGTTATCTCTTATTAGAGGATATATTAATTTTCCTGTGTGTTATTCATTTACTAACTTATCTCCAATTGCCTACCATGTGTCAGGCTCTGTACTAGGGATTGAGGACCCAAAGATAAACAAAACATGGGGCCTAATTCAAGGAGTTCACAATCTGGAGAGAAAGTCAACCACATACAAAAAAATTAAAGGTAGAAAGTGCTATAAAAAATGATTTAGGTACATCGGAAGTTTAGAAAAGCTTCACTGAGGATATAATATTTGAATTGAGTCTGAGCATGAATTCGTCTTCAGGTGAGGGAGGGGGTTAAAGAAAACTCTAATGAAGGGACTCTAGTATGTGTGAAGGCAAGGAGGCTGGTGTGTTTAGGTTGCAGT